GTGAGTATGTTTTTCTTCAATGCAGCGTGTTTCATTAAACCACGGTGAATGACTTTTTCATCTTAAGGATTCAGTTCTGCAGAAATTTTGGAAACCCCCCTTTTACGTCAAGCCTAGCCTACAACTCTAAATATACTCGTTATAAATAGGCAGCTAAATAGCTAGAGCGCACTTGGTGGAAGACATGGGCTGGGTGGGGCACAGTGGTCTTCTAAGGCAGATCCTGCACAGTATGCACCACAATGTTTTGACACACAGACAAAAGACCACATTTAAAAACTACCATAAAAGTATCATTTTTTTTCATTTTTGATTTTATTTTTTTCAGTGCTGTTTCACACAGTGCACTGCACACAATTGCACTCTCTATGTAACAAAATAGTTGGTCATTGTTTTTTTAAGTACAGTAGGGTATTGTTGATCACAATACCAAAATTTATCATGGTAACAGTAAAATATTGTTTTACTGTAACAGTAAAAATAACAAGTGAAAAAAAGAGAAGATTACATCATCAGACAACCATCCAACTTCTAAGACTGAACTTTGACGATGTGGAAAAATAGAATGGAAACTGTAATATTTATTTCATCTTTAAGGTTTCTAATTAATTTTCTTTTCAGTACATGTTTTCTGCGTGACACTGTAAAATGAATAACTTGTACTTAATGGCTGTTTTGGTCGTAAATTAAATGAATGGCCTTTGCTTCCAGTCATTTTCTAATCTGTTTTGGTCAGAACTAAGATACAGAGAGGAATGTGACTTGTTTCCTTTTTTCTGATCAAAATTGTTAAATGTTCTTTTTTGTTCTTGCCTACAATTGAATGATTAGGGTGGGCAGGGGCCCCCCAAGTAGGATGTCACTGAGGGTCCCCAAATGTTCAGAAACAGCCCTGAACGGTTTCATATGAAACCGTCACATACGGTCATCATTTCAGTAACACACTGGCTCAACTGAAATGTACTTCCCCAGCAGTCTAATTCATATTCACTGACACACAGCGGAAAAAAATGTGAACAGTCTTCAGCTCGGTGGTAAAATATTACACGCCACACCAGAGTGGATTGAGCGCTAATATGCGATCGCTGACTCGATTCTAGACTTCCATATTAGTAGAGTAGGCTGCTAAAGTGGGGTAAGAAGAGGGAGTTCTGAAGTTGTAAATACGCTCAGTGAGTCACAGAGTGGAACAGTGAAGAACATGCAGACACAGTGTGAGACAGAAGAGACCTGAAAAGGAGAGAAATCCCCCTTTTATTCATCTCAGGCAGAGAGAAAGAGAGAGAAGGAGTGGTAAAGGTAAGGTCAGCCAGCCCAGCAGAAAACAGACGTTAAAGAGTTAACCAGAAATATCGTCATTCCGGTCAAAACTAACAAGTCTTCATTTGACTCACAGTCCTGGGAACAGAGAAACAATCTTCACAGATTTCTTAGGGCCTCTTTCAGCTGTGAGCCACAATTTAGCAATAAAATCTCAATGCAAAATGCAGAAACACTACAAATCATGAATATTGTAGATGTAAAGCGGTTCACTCGTACCAGGCCAATGAAAAAGTTTTAATAGGCCTGGTAAAATGGAAAATTACTTCTTCTTTTTTTCTTTGTTTTGTTTTGAGTGGTAAAACGTGGTATCAGGGAGGGTCTCTGAGCCAGCCAAACGCGTTCTCTCAACGTTAGGAGGTGTTGGTGGGGAGGGGGAGGGGAAGGGATATCATGACATTATTAACTTTTAATATTATTTGTACCCCACTGGTGCACTGTGATGTAGTCAAAAGGTTTTAGAGTTAGGCAAAAAAAATTGCGGGAATTTTGTCTTTTAAATGATATGAAAATGGTGATATGAAAAAGTTTTCCTGCTGAAACCTGGATAACAAAAAAAAAACTTGCATTTTTTTTCTCTTTGAGGTCCAATTTGACATTTGTGTAGTTTCATGAACCAAAAACAGTCGCCATCTTCTCTTCATCCCTTAAAATTAAACAGGCTGTGTTTGTTACTGTGCCTCATTCAAAAAGCACTCTGGGCTGAAACACTCCTTACAACTTCAGCGTAAGTGGGCCGGGCTAAACTGCTGTAGGCTGAATAGATGGATACATGCAAATGTGTTGGTTTTCGTGACATCGCAAAAACAGTAAGTTCAAAGCAGGCTGTTCTACGCCTTAGTTTCCATATATGGACTACATGGACTGAGGAGTGAATGATACATTTTGAAACTTTAACAGTGTTTACATACTACATGAAACACCTTTATTGAAAAAAAAAAGTGAGGAAAATGGTTTTTCCATGATGTGGGTCCTTCAAGAAAAAAAAATGATGTGCAGTATATTTAGAATATGCTTCCTCTGCTCACTACTGCTATTCATGATTTCAGAATTGTGGGTTTTTTTGTTTTACAACACATACAAGAATGTGATATTGATTTGAAAGAAATATACATGTCAGTTGAAAGATTAATCATACACAGAAAGAGAGAGACGTCACGTGTGGTTTGGAGTGACTAGATTCAGAGATTGAATTACCCACAGAGAAAAGTTTTCCTTTGACTGTTCATGTCAAAGCAACATATTTCCATTCCATGCTAAGGCAGTCGCTTCTCTGTGTACAGCTCAACCAACAACATTTCTCAGAAAGTTCAGAGACAATTTCTGAGATTTGAAGCTGAAACGTTAGTGTGGTTAGGTAATTTCTTTAAGTACAACATAGAGATTGCTAGATTTACAGGCCTGGCTTTTTCCCTTGCACATGTATTCCCATGTAGGGTGCACGCAAAAATGGAACCTTTCGGAAGAGACATGTACTTTTGGCGAATCGAAAGCTAAGCCGGACTTGAGCTCGGGCCAAATTCCGCTGATTCCATCCCCAGACGCCAACCCGAGAAAAGCCTGCAGTTCTGCTCAGCTTTTGCGGAAGTGAAGCGATATTTTCCGTCAAGACGTTTCTTAGTTCCCTTTTCAATATAAAGTTTATATTGTGCTAAAATTTCAGCATGACCCCTGCGTACGGCGCTGACTTTACAGCTTCCTCGTGATCTAAAAGAAGAACATGTTTTACAGAAGTGAGAATAACTATGCTGTAGTCAGGGGATATTGGACTTCAAGATAGATGTGGCGATATTCACCACATGCCCAGAAGAATACAGGCACCCTTTCAGCTCCAGCTACTTTGAGGTGCACCAGTTGCTGATACAGCCCTGTATAATCTCCATAGAACAGCACTGCCAGAATGGGACGCCTTGGAACAGCTGAACATTGAACTGTGGAGCAACTGCGATCTCCAAAGTGATGGAGCTCCATCCAATAACGTCAGGATGAGTGTCCAGAACTGATCATCCAACATCAGTACCAGACCTCACTAATGCTCTTGTGGCTGAATGCAGTCAGATCCTCACAGCAATGTTCCAGCATCTACTGAAAACAAATTGGACAGAGTGACAAGATGGGCAGACAAGTGTAAAATATTTCTGTTAAATTTCTGTGAGATGATGATTCTGATCTCAGAAGATAGGGGAAAATGTACCATGTTTTTTCTGCTGAAACTGAAACTTGGGGTGATAAAACAAAAAAAAAATCCCCAAACGGTCATGTTGATTTCTCTTATTCCAGGAAATGGAGTTTGACACACAGCGTTACTGTTGAGGTCAGAGTTCACCAGAGAACCATGCCCAGAATTTCTCCCTTTTTATAAGAAAGGCATAATATCTAGTTTGCAATGTTGGAATTTTTTTGAAAATACAAAAACCAGGAATATCAAGCGATTTTCTCGGATCATGACAAACTGAACTTAAGATGCATTTCATTACTCTTAAAGCAGATTATGCAAAGTTTCTTCCTTTAAAGTGTGCATAAGTTCTTCGCACTCATACGTCATTTACAAACCGTTTCCTACAAAACCATCTGTTGAAAGCTTTCAGAGAACCAAAGGTGGTTCTTTTGTGGAATTGCACAAAGAACCCTTTTTGACACCTGATTTTTGAGTGTACAGCTGAGTAGCTCTCATTTAAATTGAGCCACCAGAGAGCCAGAAATTGCAGTCGTGTGTCATCTTCCCATGGTAGGATTGAGATAAGTCGAACCACATCCTCGGGTCCTTGAAGTAACCCAGCTCAACTCAAGATGAAACTCAAGATTACTGGTTTTCGAGATTTTTTTTTATGATGCTAAATGAATATTGAGCATGATATAGCAGAGGAAACACGAATATCAGAATGGTTTTGGTGTCATGTTTTGACCCATGTGCTAACCACAAGCACTGCTGCGTGTCACAGTGGTATGCTGCCCCCACACGTCTCTCAGAATAAACATCTGTGGACCAACTACACTCATTTCACTTTTTTTGTACACCAATCTCTACATTGGGCAGTTCCCACCGATTTCTATTAATATTCAAAACCATCGAAATTCTTGTTTGAGACAACCTCAAATAGTTTGCCACAGTAAGTCACACTTCCTGTATTCACGATTGTCTCTGCTCACCTCTCTCCAGGTTCAGAAATGAAATAGCCGTTTTGTAAATTTTTTTGACTGTAGTACATTTTGCATTTTTGCAATTTTGTTATTTCAAGTTTTTGTAAAGTTTTGTGGCATTTTGTAGATTGTTTGTAAAAAGTTTTGTTTTATTTATTTTTAAAGTAGTTTTTTAAAGGTTTTCTGACAAATGAAAGAGCCGTTTTGTAAAGTTTTATATTTATGTAAATTGTATAAAAATGTAAAGTTTTTTGCCATTTTCTATCTCTCATAACTTTTTTGTCAATTTGTAGTGTTTTGCCATTTTAAGAGGTTTTGTTTTTTTTCCCTAAATTAACTGGCCACTTTGTGAATGTTCTATAATGTAGAATGTCTTTTCAAACGCTGTTAGTTCACACGCTGAAATGTCAGTGGGAGTCACACCTCTGAGCGAAATAATCTATTGATTTTTATCTTTGCAACTTAATTTTTTCCACTGAACGTACTTTCATCTGTTAATCAGGTTCCCCAGAATGAGGCAAAAAAAAACCACACACTGCTTTCTCGTTTAAGTTCCTTTATTTCAGATTTCTAATTAAAGTTACAATTTTCCACACACTGATTTAAGCTATTCACAATGATCTGCTTAAAGAACCGGGCTCCTGCTGGCAGGCAGATTAACTCCGTCCACATAAGCTAAGGTAAAATTACATCCTATTCACTCAGTTAGCCTCCTATTGGCACAGCCCTGGCAGCTCGTTGTTGTTGGTGTGTGTGTGTTATCCTTAAAAGCTGTGCAAAAATATGGCAAAATTGAGTCTAAATCTGTTGTGTCTCAATCTAAAAACAAGCAATGTTGAGGGAAGCCTCCCTTTTGGACCCAAAGGCAGAGGAAGAATAACAGAATTATGGTTCCCTGAAACTTAAAGACAAAAAAAGAAAGAAAATCACAGTTTTTTAAATTGGCAGGAGGCTACAGCACTGAGGACCTCCAGAAGTCCTCAGGAATGCTTAGAAACACAGTAAGATCACAGATTACTCGTATTGTTCCCTAGGTTTCTAAAATTCCTGCCACGTATCAACGCACCAAATTGGAATAATTCAAATCCAGCCGCACATTTCACACCACAGCACAGCAAAGCATCCATGTTCAGGCCGAAATGCTCGTGGCACTTCAGCTCAGGCTCCTTGGAGAGGCAGAAAAGGCAGAAAAACAAGGCAAAAAACAGGACCATAATGATTCTGTAGGTGGTGGCAGCACCAAACCTCTCTACTCCAAATCATCAGTCACACTGCTTTAAGGTACACTACGTTAGTAAAACCTGAAAATCTCAACTGCTCAAACAGGAATGGTTCCAGAAAGATTGGGAAACGCAAAAACGTGTTGAAGACACAAGTGCTAATTTGCTTTATGGAATATTCAAGGTGGAAATGATTAAACATGAACAGTTTACTGCATATACACACAATAAAAAATGTTCTGGGGTCCTCTTTTTAGAGTTTTCTTTTGGGCCAGTGCGGGTCTTAAATTTTTAGGTAATGTCTGATAAATCGTTAATATCTTGAAATGAAATCTTAAAAAAAGAACATTAATTCATGGAATATCTTTAAGTGAGGGTTCAAATGCCTCCCCCTGGTTCCAGGAGGAACGTCTCTTTCAGTGGTCCATGATTTCAGTCTATCCAATCTACTATAATGGACTCATCCCCCAACCCCCAATGAAAATACTGCCTGGGTGGGGCAAGTCGATGTTGTCCGGATGTGTTTGAGGGATCCGCTGTTGTTAGATGAGCTCGACGTAATTGGCTGGAAACATTCCAAAATGGCCATCAGGACCGTAACCTCGCCACCAGCCTTCATCGATCATTTCTATGCCGGTGATAATGTCGTCAGGGTCAAAAGAGATCTCTGTGTCATCAGCTACGGAGAAAAACACAGAATCAAACATGGAGCACGTTTATAACTTGTAAGATGAAGACTTTCAATAAGTCACGTATTCACAGATTTTCTTATCGTAACTGATATCAAGCAGTTCTGTACAGACCCAGTGACCAAGAGCTTATTCATATCTGTCCTCTCATATTTTGCTTTTTTTCTTCCATTACATGAAACGGACTCCAGCCAGTCAGAGTGAAAGCACTGCTGTAAGGTTAGCATTTGCACCGAGTCGCTTCCAATTCCAACTCCTGACCGCTATGATGGCATTTGGGGGAAAGTTACCTGTCCAGAGTAGAAGCGTTTTCAGAGTTGTACAATATAGTTTTAACGTTTTAGCCAATGTAATTATCTTCTGCTGAATGTTATTCTACTACTTTTTAAACGCTTTTTTTCCTTCAACTATTGTAATTATCAATCCTTTGTACAAATATTGACTCTGTTTAAAACTGAGTGCATTTACATGCAGAACAACAAAACATCAATATCTAATTTCGCCTGTTGTCTGATTACTCAAGTGATCCAAAATATCAATTTTCTTAGATCGGATTAAATACGCCTAAAAAACAAGATGTCGCTTGATGAACATGTCTCTATTATTTATCTTAAGAATTTACAGCTGGAAATTTACATCTGCATTTTGCAAACTGTAAAATTAGGGTCTGAAATTCAATTCACAATTACAGATTTTTTGTATTTAAACCATTTAAACATTTTATGCAGCTCATTTATGGTAAAGGGAAAATTAAGGCCAGAATTCACTTTTTATGCAACTGGATGCGACCTGTGTGCTACATAAAGAACAGTGGCCAACGAAATATTAATTAAACAAATAGACTTTCCAGGAACTTGCAATCTTGGCATCACAAAAATTCACGCAAATTCAACCAATCCTCGCGGTATTTCCCAGAGCTCACAATTTTACCCAATCGCAGCATTATTACCGTTCTAAACACGTAACGCTTTCAAAATGAAACGTACAGCTTCTATGCTATGTGCTGGGAAGCTGCAGTCTCAGTGTGTGATAATTATGCTAAACTGGCCACAGCTTTCGAGATTTTGTCAGTTCCATTTTGACTGCCTGTCTTCATGTCCGTGTGAAAACTCTTCCATGTCTTTTGTGAGCCGCTCACTGTGTGTTGTGACTAAGACATTCGTAAAAATTATGAAAATTAAAAATAATGTGGCAAGGAGTTTAAATTTTGCATCACATGCTGCTTTTTTGTGAGTTTATTGGCACGTTGCTATGCAACAGTAGTGGTGAACAATGAATATTTTGAAAGAAATCTGGTTATTAAGACAGTTATTGTCAGTTTTCTAAAGTGCCTCTAAATGTGTTGAATGCATTACTGTGATTTTAAAGGGGAATTCCACTGATTTAAATTTTTTTTTTGCATATTTCAGTTGTTGAGATGTAAACAAAGTCATTCAGAGTGGTTTGATGTAAAATGGTTAATTGTAGAGAAACTTACAGACTACTTACTAATTTACTGTTGTTTTTTTTAAACAGTGGTGGTGATAGGAACCAGGGGTCTATAACACAAGTATAACCATTTTATTTATCATCCAAAACGACCAGTGAACCTACGTCTTATTACATGTAATGTTAATAACGGTATAATAGTCATAAATGTGAAAAAAAATAGTTTTCTTTGGGGACTATGTTGCTTTATCTCTGCCAGGAATGTATTTTAAAAACATGTTTTGGACCAACATCTATCATTAAAACAACCCCAAAACATCAGGCACTGTATTCATAACTATTTCATATAATAACTTTCTCTGATGCAGCTTTCAGAGACAAACACTTTAGATGTCTGATTCAGTATGTTTCTCTAGAATTAAGCATTTTGCATCAAACCATTTACTGTTTACACCTTAATGATTCAATTATGCAGATATTCTGGTGGAATACCCCTTAAAGTCTGCTTTGCAGTGCCTAACAACACCTTAACCGTGACAAATCCTGCAACACAAGTGGCTTTACACTTCAGTAAGGCACTCAAACATCACCTTGCTAAACAGCTCTACTCGCTGTGGTACTCACCAGCCTGGTAGTCATAAAGCGCTCGAGCGCAGGTGCCGCGATCGCCTGCATCCTCATACGTGTTAGGCTGCTCCACCTAACAGGGAAACACCACGTTCATCTACTGAATGTCCTCACAATGCAGAATTACAAAAACGCAACACTTCTACTACATAAAAAACATGCTATTTGGAACTGTTTATTAGCCAAGCTTAGTATTGGAGTACTAAATATACCAAATGCAGGAGGTGGACTGATTAGCTGCTGTGTACTTCTGTTTTCACTGATTTTTGCTGTTCACACACAGTTCTGGTCACTTTTGGTTTTAAGCAAAGCCAAACTCAGTGCAGATGCAGAGTGACAGATTAAATAGCTTTTACAAGGATGTGTACTTTCTAAGAATTTCCGATTTTGGTGTTTTCAACTGCTTGTTTTCTGAAAAAGGCTTTTACCAACCACATTCATCTGTTTGTAGGTCACACCACTGAGGCATTTGTAAGCATTAATACATATTAACCCACCCATGTTCAGCAACTAAATGTTTACAGAACTTGATCTGAGGCCTAAGGTGATGAAATTTTGGACCAACAGCTAACAGCTTTATTTTTGATTGTTTTGATAAAACTCAGTAGCCCCATGTGACCAAAAGGGGCCAGATTTACTAAAAGAGGCGCTAAATACCGACAGTCTACCAACACTTAGCACTGGTGGGGGTGGCTAATTTAGTGGCTTATCTAATAAGAACATCCATCCAAATGAACACAGGCGCAACTTCGTAATCAACATATGAGCAGCGCAATATAACCGCGAGTTTGACTTGAGTGCTTTTTCTACAGATGTCTCTTTCCACCGGGCTGCGTTCCAAACCGCATACTACACCCCTAAACAGTGTGTAAAACCTGTACATCACCATTTGAACTGCACTCATTAATGTAATATATGAAGTATAAAAATGTTTTTATTCTCCGATTCTGGTTCAAATAGTAACTCATTACTTTGAAAATGTCTCAAGATTATTTTGACCGACTAAATCAAAATGACATATCGTTATTTTAAGAAAATAAAATATTTTGATATAATATAAAATTGAGACAATGAGTAATTATTTTGACTGTCATTTGGTGGTTTTTGGCACATTTACAATTTGTGTGAAATTGTAATATCTCTGTTTAATTTGACAGAGTTTCCTGCTCTTATGATTTGATTGCAGTGATGCTTCCTCTCAGCTCTCTGCTGTTTACATATCTGAATGCAAAATTACAGCGTTGCCCCTTTGTCTAATTAAATGAGCTAAAGAGCCAATGTGCCTTTAGTAAATCGTGACAGCCACTTTCTGATGCCAAAACAAGGTTTGAGATGGTGCAACATGCCAGTAAATCTGCCCCTAGAATGAATATGAAAACTGATGTAGTTAAAGACTAGAGAGCTGGAGTGAATGTTTGTGTGCTGGTAGTGTTTGCTGGACCTGCGGCGGCTCCTCGTAAATGTTGTCCGGCTCTTCTACTGCTTCATACTGCGACTGCTGCTCAACATGAGAGTTATACTGAGCACTGACCACATCTGAAAGAGAGAGAAAAGAAGAGAGGGGACAAAAAGACAGAAAAAGAGAGGGAGAGTGAAAGAAGAAACAAAGAAACACAGAAAGAGAGAAAAAAAAGGCAAACGGAGAGTGAGTGAGAAATATACAGAGAGAGGGAGAGGAGAGAAACGAGAAACAGAAATAGAAAGAGAAAAAAAGAACAGAAAAAGGGAGACGACAAAGAAGAAATAGAGAAAAGCAGGAAGAGAAAATAAGCAAATAGAGAGAAAGAGAAGTGGCAAATAGAGAAAAATAACAGCGAGAGGAGGGGAGAGAAAAACAACACAGGAAGAGAGGAGATGGAGAAACAGAAAAAAAGACAGTGAGAAAAGAGAGAGAAAAAAAGGAATGGAGGAAGAGAGAAAAAAAGACAAGTCAGTCAATTATTCCGCACTGTTGTCTTTTGTCCACAAGGTGGCGCCTCAGCAGTTGTTACTGATGTATGAGGAGACACAATGAGGACGTAATAACAGAAATGAATGAAGCTTGAATGGCTGTTGTCAGGCAGTGCGTCTGTGTGTCCCACCTTCATACTCTTCGTCCTCTGCTGTCTCTGGTTCCTCATACTCAGACGCTGGAGGCTCCTCAACTTTGGGCTCTACTTACAACACACACACACACACGCATGCATAGAATCACACACTGTTTTCACTCAGGTTTGTGGACTCGTCGGTCAGGCCTCTGCGTCAGGGTGAACTCCGCCCAGCAGGGGATTGTGCAAAGCAAACAAATCCACTTTCTCTTTCACACAAACATGCGCAGCCCTATAATCTCACAAAGTAAAAGCCACACAGACTGGCCTGGTGATCAACACCCACCACATGCTTTCATTTTTACATTTACTCTGATTTTTTTGTATATGTGATGTTGCATATGAAGTGTTAGAGCCCATATAAACATGTAACATATTGTAAATAATTCGTTTTTTAATCAATCAGTGTTGGGGCGACGTTGGGGTGACGTAACGAAGTACTGCAACACATTACAGTATAAGTTCTTGTAATCGCATTACAATTACTGACTTCATAAGAATTACGTCACTTGCGTCATTCCTGTGTCTCTGTCACTGCGTGTCAACTGCGGAATTCCTCCTCCACTTCCTTTACCAGTGTCTCACTACTTGAGGGGCGTGTCTGTCTGCAATGCAGGACGCCCAGAGAAATAAATGGATTTCAAATACATTTCAAATAAATTCATATACTCATAAATAAATTCATTCTACTCATATCGGCTACTTTTCTTTTTATTTATTTATTTTTTTAATGATACACTTTGTTGGGAGTGAACTTTACACCCAGAAGAAATATCAAAGCTATATTGTGATTAATATCACCTTTATTAGAGAAATAACACTTTTTGTTTTTCATTATACGCCAGCTGTAACTCTTAAAAACTCTTCCTATCCAAAGCACTTCTAAATGGATATACGGCTTTTTTTATTAAACTCCTTAGTTAAATATTTCTGCAAAGTATGAGTTGTGTAGTTAAAATATTCTGTGTTTGTTATTTTTTACTCAACTGCAAATACGGAGACTAAATGCTCTCAATTAGCTACACTGTGCAATGGAAAAAGAAGGGGTGTGTCCCACAGTCCCTCACACGTTTTTTTTCTCTATTCCTTGTTGAAATGAATGGGGATAATGAATCATCACATACTGCAAGAGAATAATATTAATTACACACAATGTATTTCAATCACTGTATTTCAATGTCCTCTATATAGACTGTGTGACTCAAACCTAACAATCTGTCAAAGCATCTAATCACGCTAATATGAAACTGATGAAGATCCCAGTGATAAAGAGAGAAGCCCAATCTCAACTAAACCAGTAACAGCTCCATAAGCTTTACATTTTATTCATAAATATTTTACACTGAAGCAGGTTTTATTAAGCCATTACTGGCTTGTTTCAAGGATTTTCAATAGCAGTTCCTAATTTTACTCAAGCATAACTGGCTGTATCTTGTTCCAGTGCAGGGACAGTGACCTGCTTTTTGAATGCCGTTTACTCTGGTTGGCGATTTCTTTCTAAATAAAGCTCTGAAAGGACTGTTGGGTTTTCCCTTGTACTTTCCAGTTGGTACAGATTTGTGTGGGTTTTAGACTTAAAAGGAACTCTAACTAACTTAAAAGGAAAGAATGGTAAGATTTCTCTTTTCCAATACGTAATGAGTAAAGCAATCCTATTACAGTTTGAGTAGTAAGAAAAAGGCGGGAGGTTCAGAAACCAAAGCCCTGTAGTGGAGCCTGGCAGAGAAAACTAACATACAGGGTAACTGCTGTGGAAGTATTTAGTTCATTGAGCTCAAAACTATGCAAATCATATCAAGTCATGTCCGAATGTTGTACTGTTTTCTAGTTATTCTGGTTTGTTTGTTAAAATCTGTGGCTTAGTCTGTGGCAGAGATCTTCTTTTGAGACTCCACATCTGTTACAAATTGAGCCCGTTCTAAAAACGTCACCCGTCCTTTGTGTTCTGCTGGCTTTAGAATGGTGCATAGTGCTTGGAACCCTGATGATTGCTATTTGCGATGTTATTCGTAGACGCTGTTTAGGTCTCATAGCGGTTACAGTCCAAAAAGTAAACGTTTTACATTAATTACAGACAAAAATTACACAGAAGCGGATTGTCTTGGTGGATAACGATAGTTTAATATGTTGAAACTTTTTTTGCCCATCTGCTGTCTCACTTTTGACTGGCTCATAGAAAGTAATACTATCTGTGGGTTGGCTAAATAATGACTAATCTGCTGCTGTGCTGTGTTTGTGGGAGTGGAGTTCTACCTCAGAATTGCGGAAAATAAAAAACCCTTCAAATCTACACAAAGTACATGAAACGGCACTCAAAATGGTGGATTCCACTGAAAGGGAACGAGTTTGCATGTATGTAATCAGTAATTTGTAATGGATTACTTTTTAAGTAACTTCCCAACACTGTTCTGACGTACAGACTACGTTCTCCAATCTATCACATATTTATATGGGTGGAAGCGCAGTTATGATTTGGCTCATAGAAAAGCAGAAGCCAGCAGGAGAGACAAAGGGAGGGAGGGAGGGAGAGGGAGAGAGAGAGAGAGTGTGTATGTGTGTGGAGATGGAAAGAATGATGCGTTCTATGATTATAGAATAAAAGACACTCCACACAGGCTACATTCCTCACACTGCACACAAAGCACACTGTGTGATATGTAATGGTGGGTCATGCCAATTAACTGCTCATGTGTAAATGCTGAGAGAGCTAATTCACCTACATTATTACTGTATATTTAATGCATTCGGGTATATTACTACACTCAATGCTGGCTGAGTCAAAACAATATTTACATCAGAGGCATTAAATCAGAGCTGTCACTGTCTTTTAAAGTCATATGCAAAGGTCTGAACACTCCCGGTCAACTGGCGCCCAAACTTTGGAATACAACTATAAAAATGTAAACACTACGTGGTAAAGAAAATGCATATTAATACACGCGTCTATCAGCCTCTGTAAAAATATCCAGTATTATCATGCAAACTGCCGACTAATCACTGCAGATTTACTGAACAGATAAAATCTTATTTGATGTAAATCAAGTTTTTTTAAAACTAGGAGCTCTCTTGGCTTTACAAAGTGTGCTGTGTTTAGATGTGTGCTCGATGTGTGTGTGTGTGTGTGTGTGTGTGTGTGTGTGTGTGTGTATTAGTGTGTACCTGCGGCTGGTACAGGTGAAATCTGGCGCACGGGAGAGCGAGAAGGCTCTGGCTCACAAGGTTGCTTAGACAGAAAAGGGCTTTTCAACCGCCCTGAGACACAAAGACACCAAGAATGAAAAGATCTCCAAGCTGACATTTGACACGGGCGTCATACATAGTTGGACAAAATGAGGGTTGAGTGAGGTTTAGTAACAACATAGAGAGACAGAGAGAGACAGTACTGTACGCAACAGTAGGCAGAGATAAATAGGGCTGCTGTGATAACCGTAACGCTGCAGTGGTGGCATGTTTACCACAGTGTTTGACACTTTTTTCCTCTTCTTTTTTGGAGAAATACCTTTTTAATGTTCCAACAGAGATGCACAGTTCAGGGCTTGTGAAATGACACAGTGCACAGTAGGCTAGCTACATTAGCCTAACGTAAAATGATTATAGACCTATCTTTGCTTAATACAAATTTTTCTATGCCAGCCAAGGGTCAAATTTTCAAGGGATGGGGTGAGTTCAGCCAATTCTGTGAGGGAGGGTTTGAGACAGTGGTGCTGCTTATGAGCTGTACCTATACTACAGCATTTTATTTCCCCTAACAGGATTTTCTATAGCAATTGTGAACTGCCACATTCAGAATATCAGCCGTTTGTCTACCCATATCCATTACCATAGCACTACCATTAGCAACACTAACAGTAGCAAAATCCCAGTTAGAATGTCCAATATGTCCAATATCTTTAGAGAATTAAACCGATTTTCCAACACTTCTGTATAATTAAACATTTAAAGTGTAAACAAAGTGGTGGTGATGGGAGCCAGATATATGAATACTGTAATGCTTCTAAAAGCTGCCTTACTGGAAGCCATCACACAAAATGTCTACAAATACACTGACGTATGTCTGAGACTTTGTTCTACGATAGCTCTGGGATACATTTTCAGTCTAAAACGTACTTTTAAAATCCTTTAATGATGTTTGTTTTTTTTTAGAATTTTTTTTTTTACTATTTTACCATCATTAATATTTACATACAAAATTAGAAAACATGTGAAGGTTCACATGGCTATATTTGTGTTGCAACCCCTGGTTCACATCACCACCACTGTAAAGAAATCAGAGTTGGTAAGTTTCTCTACAATGAACCACATCATAACAAACTACTTTGAATGACTTTATTTACATCTCAGCAAGAGCATAATGCATAAATTTTGTAAAATTAGTGGAATTCCCCTCTAAGTGATGCTGTATTATGACAATGATATTCTCTTGAACATGTGACCTTGGTGAGTAACTGTAACTATAGCAGGTAAGGAAGCTCTTTCAGCTTGTTTGGACTTGTGCTGCAAACTGGAGTGAACTTCGTACTTCAACCACTCCACCACCCCTCCACCCCACCCACGGCCTAACACCACATGCAAATTAAACGCTACTGAAATAAACGTCTCCTTTTAATATAGTGGGACAGATTGTATCTGACCAGGACGCTTCAGTGGTTCCTCGTCAGATATATGCATGCTTAACACAAACTGCTGTGTGGGTTTGTGTATCTACTAATGGAACCTCTTGAGATTCAAAAATATCTTCACTAACATAGCAACATGCAAAAACACACTGTATGAGCGATGTTCTGTGATGGCAGACGGCATGTGTTTAACCCTTAAAGGTCTACAGTTGTTATACTATTCAAACTGTGGCTAACCACAAAATAAAACTTACATAACTTTTTATAATAAGAGTTTTCGCACTTTTGACTATTTAACCACTAGTCTGAATGAGTGCGTTTACATGCACTTATTAAACCGATCATAATCAGATTTCTGCAGATATCCAATTATTCAAACGGTCATGTAAACACCATACTCTGGTCTAGAAATCCTATGAGAAATCAGATAAAGAGAGCTTGATTTTAGCTCAGTAGTCAGATTCTCAGTGCATGTAAATTCTTACTCTGATTCTTTTGGATTTCTCAGTCTGCACATGCGCGAGAACAGACAGCAGTACCAGCGTGAGTTTTATGTTACATTTACATCATGTCCTCTGTGAATTTATTGGCTGGTTGCAGAGCAGAAATCCGATTATTGTCTGACTCATGTAGACCTGGAGTTTTCCCATTATCTGATTACTTAGAAGCATGTAAACATGTTGATTGGATTACTGACAAAATCTGATTTTCTGCAGTTCTGCGGATTATTAAGTACATGTAAACACACTTTTTGTACTAAAAAAAAAGTTGTACTTCAATTTTTGTACTAAAAATTTCACACAACTATTTTCCAATCTCTTTATATCCCTCAGTGTTAACCTCTAAGAATCCAAGGCTTATTAAATCCACAGGCTTATTATTCAGTAACTACACGGCATACAGTGCAAACTAGCTGAGTTTTTCTTAGGTTACAGAAATGAGTAATAAACATTTGGGAAAAGTAGGTCCTGGCCATTTAAGGCTGCACTTTGTGAGCTCTGTTCCTTTTGGCTTCCTATGTATTGTGACTGATTCAAAAGGCAGTCCAGGCTGAAACACTCCTTAAATTTCAGCATTAGTGGGCAGCGCTAAATGTTTAAACGTAAATGTGTTGGTTTTCATTACATCACAACAAAAAATGAATTTAAAATTGGGCTGTTTTTGCCATCTAGTTCCCAAAAATGGACTGTATGGAGTGAGGAGTGAGTGGTACAGTTTGAAACTTAAATAATGTTTACATACAACATTACACTTTTTTTTAATGAGCAAAATTAGGTTTGCCAAAAGCAAAAACGGTGACTTCTAAGGGTTAAGCTAAAGTCTGTTTGGGTCCAGAACAAGTCCCCACAAGTATAATGATACAAGATTAGTGGCATGTGTGTGCACGACTAACCTGGCTGTGGGCTGGACGGAGTGTCTGTGCTGCTGGGGGTGATGCCTTTCTCTCTCTGTTGGAACATTTCTCTGGGGTTAACAGAACGCTGAGAGATAAGAGACACAGCCTCCTGTTGAGAACGAACACACACACACACACATATACATACACACACACACACACACACACATTTATTTATTCCATGATTACAGTGCAATAAGAGTCATAAAGGAAGAAAAACATGCCACCGTTCAAAGGTTTGGAATCATCACTGTTCTCGACAATATGATGCAATTTTGTTGCAAATAAATGTACAATACGATGTTGCAACAACTTCAGGTTTAGAGAGAAAGCTGTGACAAATGAACAAATGTTAGACGTGTCCAGAATGATACACAGAACAAGTGTAGATGATGCAGATGAGGTTTCTGAAAAGGCTGCCATCTTGCCTAACTCGCTCACGTCGGTAGCTGTTTTCATTTGTTCAGCAGGCAGAAGTCTGCCTGAAATATGACTGACGAATGGGTTTCTGTTCTGGGTTTGTTTCGTTGTGCTCAGCAGTTTGGGGTTGGTTTTCAAGTTTACAACTGAACTTGGCTTCTCTTTTTTTTTATTAAGCTGTAGCACAGAATGTACAACACTCAGTTCTTTCACTTGAGTGCAAATATCAAAAATACCTCTGAATACCTCTGAAATACCGCTGAATATATTTGACTTGATGATCATTAACCAAAGGCAGATTTGAAGAAAAGCTAAAAAAACTCAGCTTCTCCGCCTGATCAGTACTGTGTGGATGTTTCAGAGACGGTGACGTAGCAATGGCAACATAAACAACCACACAGCAGCATGTGGAAGGCTTTCTTATGCTTTTTAAGCTTTTATTTTCTGTCAGAAATCGGACTTTGAATCTGTTCGAGGTATCAAATTATGGAGGTCTGCTGATCAATGCCTACTGCTTTTACAAAGCCACTGACACTTTATTCTTCTTGATGGGCTTGACATCAAATTGTGTAAGATACAGTCACCTCTACTGATCTGGCACGACTCATTTGTGTTCTCATGTGGACAAAGATTTTTGTGAAAACACCTTCATTTTTAAAAATATTCAGACATTACAGTGTATTGTACTATATTGTTCAATATGAGGTTCTTAATTCAAGATGCTCAGGAATAAAACATTTAGACTGGAGCAAATAAAGCAGTTAGTTTAGTGCTAATTATATTGTATAAATGATAATAAAAATTAAACAAGCAGACCCTCCCTACTCTGAAAATATCGCTTCCTCTTTAGCTCATTATCGAGAGGAGAGAGTGGAAAAAAAATAAAAACTCATTACGGAAAGTAGAAGGCAGATTTTTAGGCACTACTTATTTTTGCTCTATTAAACTGAAACAACATTGTGTCGTATTGAACTGAACTCTGCAAATTGTTACTCTCCTAAGAATTACAAGCACAATGTTTATCATTTAAAAACTTCTTCTTGGTCATAAAACACTGAAAAATGAATAAAATATCTACACATACAGTCGGGTGTCTGGTTGTTATCAAATTAAATATATGCCAAGAGTGATTCCAAACTTTTGAATGATAGAATATAAACAGACGAGACATTTTACACGTCGAGATAAAGACTGAAAGAAAGAAAGAATGTAACAGTTCTGCTGAGGCACACTGAAGAAACGCACCAAGCTTAAAGAAAGTGAAAGTAAGACAGACTGAAAAGAAGGAAGGCTCAGGAGCTGTACACAGTGAAAGAAAGGTCATTAGTGGACAGGAGAGTTCTGGTGTCCAGAGGCCAGGCTGGATACTGCCCAAACACACTCACATTGGCTTTCTCCACGGACTGTGCACGCTTAAAGCTTTTGGGTTGTGCTGCCGGCTCCTCCTCCTGTCAGACATGAACACATCCTTTAAACAAATCTCCTCCACACAAACATTAATGATGCAACAAACTGAAAGGTAAGATGAATGCTGGTACATAAAATGTGATCTCCCCTACAGTCACATCATCATTAAACATCACAGTGCATATATAATAAACCTGTTCAAGTCCAACAACTCAATTTACTCCTAAATGCCAAAGAACTTCTACTGATTGGTATAAAGCAGGGGACTCAGACTCACATAACAGGGAGGCCACTATCAAGGTGGTCTTCTCCAAGAGAGGTGGTTATTAGCAATTCTTCTGTCATCACAAACATCAACTAGTACTACTACTAATCATAATAATAATATTTATACTACTAATGTGTTGTATAATACAATGTAATAAATTTTATATGGGCATTCCTGCTTATTGTGAAAGGCCGTTCCTGATACAAGCATGCAACTGGGTTAATTCTTTGTTCTCGATGGAATCGTTTGATTATTCCATTCATTTCTTAGTTCTGGTGTGCTGTATTTACCACATGACATATGAATGAATCAACAAAGGCCGACTCAACTATCAGTCTAAATCAGAATCATAGCCGAGTTAGTTAGTCATTAGATTCATCTTGCTCGTTTATTTATTTGTTTATTTTGACTACATATAATGCTAATACTTTTATCCTCAGTCAAACTTGGTTTTTCCTGTTTTGTTAAAAATCAGTAGTGCCATGGGACCAAATGATAAATTAAGTGATATACATTTTGTTTTTTTTCTATTTTTTTCCCAATTTTCTCCCCAATTTAGTCATATTCAATTCCACCCATTAGTTAGGACCCTAATCACACGATACCACCAGCACTAAGTGGGCGAAGGATAACGCAGGCTTCCTCTGAGACCTGTGAAGCGCCACTGCATCTTTTCAAACTGCCGCTCACGCAACATCAGTGGACAGCTGAATGCGCTCGGAGGAAAGCGCCAACCACCAGATCTGTTATGTAAACTAACAGACGCTTGCACTGAATATCATCGCGCTGGTTGATGGGGGGAGAGGGAGGGGCTATCCTACCCACCCAGAGAGCGAGGCCAGTTGTGCTCTCTTGGACTCCCGGCCAAGGATGGCTGCAGCATCACCAGGGATCGAACTCGCGATCTTTTATGTCAAGGTCTTGCAAACAAAGCTAGTTTGCTCTATTATTTAAAATTTCATCTTGAAAAGCCAGGTGCCTCCAAACGTTTCAGGGTGGGTTTGATGTCACTAGGCCACTGGGACCGTCTGATATAAGGGGGTTTGAACATTACTGTCTTCCTACTGTGGATGTAGTACTTAGTAGATGTGTTATAGAGATTATCTGATGTGGTGATAGAGGTGAGGAACTGTAAAAGAGGCCCTGAGAGAGAGAGAGAGAGATTAAGATAACAGTGTCTCAAAACAAACACAGCTGAAAGAAGAAGTAGAATGTAGTGAAATGCCTCATTCCACCACCGACCTGTCTAAGCTTTTTCCATTGTCCACTGATGTTGGTCTGATCTTAACAGAAACTGTAGTGCCTACACCACATTCTTAAAGAGTCCATATACTACATTTATTTTGCATTTTATTTTTCCATTGAGGTCCATTATAACATTAGTGTGGTTTTATGTGCCAAAAATGATCATAATTAATTTTAACATGATCGTTTTCCAACCTCTCCACGTTCCTTAGGATTAAACAGGCTGCTCTTGTTACTGTACCTTTAAGACTGATGTAAGATACAGGACTGATATGAGATAAATGAGCTCTGTTCTGATTGGCTGATCTTTGTTGTGTCTCATTAAGCACTTAGAGCTGAAACACGCTTTAGAAGCTAAACTGCTGTAGGCTTTAGGTGGATGTGTGTAAATGAGTGGGTTCCTGCGACATTACAGAAACAGTGAATCCAAACGGGGTGTTTTTGCAGTTTAGCTTTAATCTGACTTCTAGAATTTTCATTAAACCACAATGAGTTTGTGTTTTATTTGTAACAGACCGCAAGTCCTTAAAATAAACAGCACATTTCCGAACATCTTCTCAAATCTGTTTCTCGGTCTAAACTTGTCTGACCGAAACTGAGACACTGACGTCACAACTCAAGCTTTCCTTAAAAGGTGCTAGGAGTTAGGAGTTTTCTAATATAAATGCAGTACCCTGCTTATGATCAGTGCAAACACTGCACTCTTAATTACTGCAGCTTTAGTTGTTTATTGTTCTGTTCAGAAAAATTCAACCCCAAAAATGTTTGTTTGTACAGATTACGACTGCTTACATCACCCCATCTTAAAAAAAATATTGTGGTTGGATGCAGGGAAACTAAGTAAGTTACTAAAAATACTAAAATTAAATAAAATATTACATTTCTTTTGTTTACATTACTGTTACATGCATTTCTCCGTTGAAATTAATCTACTACAATACTATGGAATGAAAAAAACAACAACAATCTGCTCAATCAAAAGTATGATGGAAAACAAGAAATTATGGATTTAAAAAGGAAGCTTTTAATTGTTTATTAAGTCTCCAAACAGTATAAATACATATTATTTTTCTACATTACTTTTTCATGTGTCATTTACTGGATATTTTCATTTTTCAACTTAGTTCTTCAAACTCAGTTTTCATAATTCTAGCACGTTTAACCATTTATTCCACTTTTGTCACTGTTTATATGATTTTGAGTGCCTGTGCGACACCTAATACATTGTTGGCAAAAGGTTTCTGCATTAAACATTACTGTGTTTATGGCTGGCATGAATAACTGGTTCTCTGACTTGTATATTAAACAGATTTTAAATGTTAAAACGTGTCATTTCATTCCAAAAGCTTCCTAAAACAGATTTACACTACTTTCTTCTCCCTTGGACGGCTGGATGACATTAATTAGCAGTTCACTGAAATGTTCCTTTCTTCAACGATACGTTCTGTTCAATATGTAGCCCAAAGTTACCTTTACATGATGTTAGACATTTAGGCGAGAGAGCTAAAGTACATTCACACTAACAGCAGGTGAAAATCACACCACCATGCTCTCATGTGCTACCTTCTATGCAATCTTCTATGCAACTGTAATGAGATGTCTGACAGCTAAAACAGGTTGTAAGGCTTTCATACATCTCAACAATTAGCTGGAATTCATTTCAGTGCTATCAGTGCACTACTTTGCCATTTATATGCACAACAAATCCTGTCATTCTTCCTGGAGCCTAAAAAAAAAGGGTAACACCTGTAGTTTTATCATCTCCTGAATGGAATTCAATTTGCATCAGGCGGATGAAAATAGGTGCAAAGGAGAACAAGCTTGGCGAGCGATTAGTCATTATGCCAAATTCAATAGAGCTCTCCGAGGTCCTCAGGAAAAAGAAACGGGAACAGATTACAGAGCACTTTTAAGGGAGATGCAACTCAATTACTTCACAGTATGATGAAAAAAAAATGAGCATGAAAAAACGAAACAAACACACAACAAACAGGCTGTTCCATAAAATTCAGCCCAACCAAAAGATGTTCAACGAACCCCAGTAGGTGTCTCCTGACACAATTAATGTCAGTGCGCATGAGTCGGCTGTCAAAAAGACATTTCACAACAGTCTACTTATGAGATCAGGAAGGAGGAAGAAAAAATCAACTGGGCGTGGAACAAGACAAGATTAGTCAGTGGTTTAACACTAGGCATCATGAACGATGTCTTTAAAAACTGACAGAAATGATGGAAATGGAAAGTTTTGGTCTGGCCAAATTAAGTTGACTTTAGCTAAGGTCTTACTTCTAGATTAGGTTACTTCTATCTGCTCACAGCGCTAAAATGATGCTCAGATGTACACATATACTACGCTAACATATGTCAGTATGTGGATATTTGTTCATCATTTATGAACAAATACAGTTAGAAGGTATATGATACAGTTGTATGCATATCCATTATAGGGAACAAACTTAAATACGGCATTTTCTGCAAATTGTGGTGCACAGTTTCTGTGTATTTGCAACTTTTGCACAGGCCATATTTCATGTTTTATTTTTTCTAATATGTTAAATTTTGCAAATAAACGGTGTTTGTGCATCAACATGTGCAGAAAGGTGTTCTCTGTAGAGGACTTGTGAAAACTTTTGCATACAACTGAAAATTATCTTCTTCCTAAATTTTAAACTTTAAGCTTCAGACTGGAATTCCTTTATGAAATCCTGTTTTGGTTCCCACTTCATTGAAATTCGCAAGGATTTACATTTAATATTAAACATCTCAATGCAATGATTTTTTGTTTGTATAAAACACGTCAGATACAACATGGTCACTGTCTGGGACAAAATGTTTTACCTCAATTTTTATTGTTTCAAATAATTTAAAAGCACTTTCTGCTCTTGAGTGAACATCTAACCATGAACAGATCAATATGGTCCAAAATTACATTAAGAATGTTTTTTCCTTCTCTTGAAAACTTACTGTTTTGGGTATATGAGGTTTTGCTCCGACAGCGACAATATACAACACGTATGCTTTTTAAAATGTTGTATACTAAAATTTTGGAGAACAAGTGTATGTTTAAAAAAGAAAGAGAGAACGAAAGAAAGAACGAGGGCACCGAGGGTTTAGAACTGTACACAGGTGAGTCTTATTCTTTCAGAACAAAACTGCTGACCTGGAATCGGCTGTTCTTGATTGTGTGCGTGTCTCACTCACCCACTGCTGTTTCTGCTGACTCTGACTCTCTGTCTCCAGCTGGTACCTCCTGCAATGCAAACACACCTTTATCAACCTGCACGTACACATGCACACAAATACCCATAGTGACCAAAACAGCCTGTCTGCTACAGTCACGCTCTCAGCTCTCAGGTGTGTGTATGGAGGCCTAAAGGAACTCACTTCTGCTCGTCGATCTGTGCGGCTCGCTCTTTGGCCTTCTTCTCTCTCAGAGCTGCTTCTTTGGCATCTCGCTCCTTAATTTCTCTCTCCAATTGCTGCCGCTCCTCCTCCGCTTTCTTCTTCTCCTCCTGGCGACGTTTCTCCTCGTCTTTCTGGAGACAGAGAGAAAACACAGCAGAAAGATAAACATCTAGTAAAAGCCAATGTTATAAAAATGTAACACAATTTGGAATAGTTTTGTTGTCTTTTTTAAAAATTAAACAAAATGAAATCTTAAACAATATTATAAGCATTAAAGTTAAAATCAGTACCAATACCAGTTTAGACGATGTATCAGCCGACACTGCTTAAAACAGTGATCTAGGATAAAGTCGTTGCTACCCGAAAAGTATAAATGCAAAGAATTTTCCGTTTCATGTACTGCACAACATTACATCCAATTAGACAAGACCAATTCTACTCCAAATCGACGTGGCTAAGAAAACAACACATCTTCTTTCCGTACCGTGATGTATTTCTAAGTGAAAAGTGTCATCAGGGATACAGGGTCTCCTGAGCTTTGCTCGATGATAAATTTTATTTTAAGTGATGGGAGGGAGAGCTGAAACTAGTGGTGGGCTATATGATATTTATGAGACTATATGAGAAAGATATCATCTGTACTTAAAGAACACTGACCAACTGTATATTTCACTATAAAGAGAGCATAATTAGTCCCTTCTAATTGGATTTAGTGCAGTATGATATGTAATATGTAGAGTAACTGTTTCAACTTAGGAATATAAAAATAAATACAATGATACTGATCATATATCATAAAAATGTCATGTAGTGATAGCATATTTTTCCAATATTACCCTCCCTTAGGTAAAACCTAATTCTATTGTTTAATATTAGTTTTCCCGGCCCTGCTGATGCACGATAAAGTAATCAACACTTTGTCAGAAGATTACAAAAACCAAGAACTTCGTCTCTGAAATGGTATGATATGACGGATCATGCTAAATATGACCAGGGACATATAAGGGGAAAAAATGGCCTTGATAAACAGAGTGAAATCTTGAATTGTGACACCACTAAGAGCTCTTCTGATTTTTTTTAACCTCTTATTCTCCAGGGTATATTTTGGTTTGTTCATCTGAATTTACATGACCAAATCATAAGGCAAATTATTCAGTAACTGCATGAAATAAATTTTTTTTTATTTATTTATTTTTGTAAAAGCTCCCCTCAAATTAACAGAACATGTGTTTTTCTTGAAGAAGTTAATGAAACATGGAGCTGTTCAGTGTTCTTTAAGTACTGATGATACCCATGATATACTCTGAAAAGTTTATCACAGAAGCGTTTATCATGATAACAGTGGCAAATCATAATATCGCCCACCCCAATCCACAACACTTGCATAACTGGTACAAGCTTAATTTTGCTGTCATCGCAGTTAAGACCACTGCTCCTCAGCTCTACCTCAGTATGTGTCTTACCTCAGCCTGAGCCCAAAAGGTGTCTTTGTTGGTCCTTTTGATCTCCGACATGGCATTGGTCTTCTGATACACAGAGCCCTGTGGAAAAACAAGACGTTTTCAGCTGTAAAGAAAAGACATACATAAATAGAAATCCAGTCATGTCTGAATATATACTCATTATATTCTTTTCTTTCCTGTTTTAATGTTTGGTCACAGACAGTCCCTCAAAATCTTGAAAATGTAATCACATGAGGGCCTGACTAGATGGCAACTAAAAAGACTCCAACAGTTTTAAACAGTGCTTTTCTGACTGATATGATTGCCAGTTACTGGCTTTTAAATGGTTATTTTAACAGTGATGTTATTTTATGTTCAGATTTACCAGTTCAGTATATTGCTGTGAAAAAAAAATGATGAATATCGCCTTAAAAGACTGCGAAATCATCAGAAATTAGCATTTTCCTCATATCACAGATCCATAAGGTAATAAAACAAGCAGTGCTTTACTTGCAGGATGACAGCCGATACCGATAAATTCGCTGGAGCAAAACATCGCCCAGTATGATCAACCAACTGATATATCTAGTACACAATAGTGCTTATGTATGCAAAATCCTTTGGGAGAAAAAAAAAAGCAGACTGTGGTTTTAGGTGACAAACACACTTTTAGTGTTTAGGAATGCATTTGGAAGAGGTAAACATGCTTCACATGCCACCATTTCCACATTCCTTATCCATTCCAGAACATTCCCTGTCTAAATCCTGACACAGTGCAGTGTCAGTGCGTTTCAGATAAACAAGCTGCAGGCTGGCACCGGCCCTGGCATTAACAAGCCATCACAAGGCCTTTCTGGCCGCTGCTGCTGCTGCCCACTTTAGTCTCTTCACCATTAGGACATTACCAAGATACACTGTTCTACATTTACTACCATTAAATTCACAAAATAAACAAGAGCCAGCCCAGTATCGGTTTAGTAACATGTCAGAGCAGATATCTCAGTATCACTGACTTGAACTAACCCTTCTAGACTCCCCCCATGATTTACACACGTTGAATTGCCTCCCTTCACTTTGTTCAATTCATTTTCATTTGCAGCTCATTAAAGCAAGTGGAAAAATTCTATGGAAAGTGGGACTGTAAGCTTTCAATCCACAGCACATTTATGTTTGTAGGAGATTTTGAGGAAAAACTGAGCAAAAAGTTGCATGTCATGCTTTACTGAAAGAAAATACACATTAGTTACATTAGCTTAGCTTTAGCTTTTGCCAGACCAAATCATGAGCGAAAGCGCATTCATTTCAATGAAATATGCTATGCTAAGCCGTTTCATGTTGCAGACTTAATGACCAAATTAATTTTTAATTGGAGTTCAATTCTGGTAAACTTGGACATGCAAAGTCGCACCCTTGACCAATAGTGCTGCTGCTTTGGCTCCTTTGACCTCTGAAGGGGCAGGGCTTCGTACAGCAGCACTAAAGATCCAGAGTTTACCAGTATCTAAGCACATGACCCTTTAACATTTCTTCCCGTCTATAAATAAACTCATAAAAAAGAGGCCACAAGATACACAATATGTCAGGAGACTGTATTAGATGATGAAACTATAGCGCTATTTGGACAAGATTAGGTAACTTCCTCTTTTACAGGCGCTCCTCTATGATTTTATTGCCGTCCGGATCGGCCAAGTCTGTGTTTTTCTCCCTCCTCCTGTGAGATACTTACAGGCCAAAGTACCTACTGTTTTTCCACCAAGCTCAGCTGCCAAAAAATGTATTCCAGTCCAGATACAAATCTCTGATTTTGGTAGATTTTTAGGCAGTCGCACTACATTGAAGAAAAGGTTTTTCTGACTGCCGTATTTGCTCTTCTAGGGGTGCGTATCAATATTAAACATTATCCAAATCGTGATACGGTTAATGTTTTAGACGTCGTTCAGCCATCGTTTGGTTGGTAGAACTTTTAGTAAAACTAGTAACTTCTAGTAAAACTAGAAGTTTTTATCCTCTCTACACTGGAAGAGTATTAGCAGGAGGAGAAACAAAAAAGAGAAAGTCTATCAGAAAAGGGAGATCTCGCAGATTGATTAATGGTAGCTACGCGTAGTAAGCTTTTTATAATCACATACGGCTACATAATATCAAAAGCACTTGTTTATGCACAATTATGAACCTTTTACGCTAACAAAACGTGATCATACGACCATGTGTGACGCAAACATCCAGGTTCGTAGAAACTGCAGCCCAAAACTCATGCTTGTGCCTCCAGTAGTAATTTTACTGCCATCTGAATGCGCAAGATCTGCAAAGTGCTGGTGTGGCTGCAAGCAGAATCACCCTGATTCCAATCCTTTAATCAACTGATTTCAGTCAAAAAGGTGATCATGTGATCTCCTGATTTGTTGGAATGAAAACCTGCAGCCACACCAGCCCTTTGCGAATAAGAATGGACACTCCTGAACTAATCCAATCCGAACAGGGCTAAACTTTTGTGTTTTTATCGTTTATAATAGGCAAGTTGTTCAGCCTGCTGACTGCTAGGTTAGTTGCTTGGCTAAGCACTGCTGCACACATCATTCACACTACTGCGGTCAACCATGACACTTATTTACACTCTCTTACTACAGCTGTGCTCTCGCAAATGTACAATTAATGAGACAATTATGTTTATCTTTGTTGTTTTTACTGTTTATGGTTGGCCAGCTAAGTGCATCAAAATTCTGTATTTTTTTTGTGTTCTTCCAATATTCCAGTCCAGCCTTGATCATCTAGTTTCCAATACAACATGAACTGCAAATACCTTGTGTGACTTAAAAAAAATTGGGTTAAAAAAAAAAAACCTTAACAATTTTGCTATTTGTTTGATTCTGAAACAAATGTAAGACCGAAACCTGCAGACCCCAACATGTTGGTGCAGAATGTAAATGAACTGTAAAAGTAAGTCATTATGTTACTATGTGATTCATTATATAACTACATATGAATGTTTATGTGAAGTATTTTGAATGTAAATCAATATTAATTATACATACAACTAAATAATTCTACGCAATAACAACTCCAGGGTTAAACAGTATAAAGGAGGGGTGGGGCTAATCACATGATAATCACAACTAAAATATCACTTACCGACTCATTTTTAGAATCACAACAAACACACATATTCTAATAATAATTTTTTTTTTTAACTCTAATAATTGCCTACTGTCAGTTCTGTGAACTCTGTACCTGTATAGAGTTGTGTTAAAAACTGCACAAAGCCACAAACTTCGAAACGGCACGTATCAAAACTGCAGTAGGTTTACAACACTCACCACAGGCCCCTGAGGCCCCGTGTCTCTGAAGCGGTTTGTCTCTTTGTGGAAGCTGTAGTTGGCTCCTGAAGCTTTGGCCACTTTCTGCATGATGCTCTCAGGTTCAACGTCCTCCTCTGCACGAGCGTTGATGGTCACGTGAGCTCCCTGTACAAAACAACATCAAACACACAAACGCAATGCACAAAAGAATGAACTAATGCACAACACAAAACATGCATCACAGTACACACCATACTGTATACTATACATACTGGCCGATATAAATCACTACACTGATACCAGATTAAAGGAGCTAAACTATATTTTTTGATAAGGTAAAATTCAACTCTCTAATAGTTGTAGTTTAATAGTGTCTTACTTACTCATGTTATTGTCACTTCTCAATTATCATACTTCTTCAAGTCAAATAAATAGAAATGCACCAAGTCGGAAATAATATAAATATAATAGTGTGGAGACAGAGTTTCCAGAATTCCTAGGATTTTCAGTTTCTGTTATTTAGCTCTTCATCACTTTATCACTTTTCTTCACATAAAGGTAATTTTTCCTGATATTTGTTATATGTTATCCTCAGACTTAAGGAACAGGCTTGGATGCATTTTAAATATTTTTGCTATTTTGCCATATATTGCTAAAAAAAAAGGTGAGTAATCATATTGTAGTCTCTCACAAATCCTCACATTAGTGAAGTTCAATTCATTACAATAAAAAAAAAACCACCATTTATAAATATCTGTGTTTTATCAGCCACATTATGAGCTGCACTGATAATTTCCTATAGTCCTGTGCCAGTAACAGAATCCTCTTATTCAGGTAACCATGTTGTAGATAACTACGATAAACAGCTAAACTGGTCTTTTTTTATTTCCCCTAAAGCGTTTGCACACATAGTAACTTTGAGATGGTTCCTAATTCTAAAGCAGACGCTGAAACAAACACAATGACAGTGAGCTGAAGCTCAGTACTAATAGTTGACACTAAAAATGTGTCCAATAAAAGAACAAAATAAAAGTGCAGTTCAGTAAAAGTGGTCATCTTTCATTTGGCCACAAAACTGTTACTAATCTGGTAAATAACAACATAATTGTGAATATCGCATGATCTTTACTGTCAAAGGCCACTTTCACTGTAGCTGCTTAGCTTAGCCTGATGCCTGTTGGTCAGAGGCCATTTTGCCTGATGTCCAACTGTCTGAGAGCAGAGATCTAACTGTTTTCCACGAGGCCTGGAGCTGTTTTGTCTAATGTCTGAAACCTGACTCTGTGGTCTGAGAATGTCCTTTAACGTACATCATAACATAAGCTTTGTTTGTGATATCTGCCAGCCGTAGCGGCACACAGTGTCCCTTCCCTCCGAGCACGTTCAGCCAGCACTGCTCAATGTTCAGCCATGTTTCTAGAACAATGTTACGTACATTAAATATGGTACTAATATAGGATATCACATCACCCTACATGTTTAATTGTATTCATGTGTGGGGACACTAGTGTCATTCATGTATGCAGACACAGTAACCAAAGTCACAGTAGACACAGTAACCAAAGCTGTCATCTAAATAAACAGGTTTTTGATCTGTGGGTGGAGTATCCACTCATTTCCCTGTTTACACTAATCTGACTGATCTGCTGGAAAGATCAGATGGAGGTGTACGACTACACTAAACTCATTAGTCCAACGCTCCAACAACACAGAGTCAGACTCAGTGTGTCACTGCAGAAGAGAACAGTTACCTTCAGAAAGTTAGCTATGGAGCTAACGTGGTTCGCACAGAGTCCTTTCCGAGCATCTTTCACCCCCTCACCAGTCTGAAAAACATGAATGCAGAGAATGAGAAGAGTGATCATACCAGCCAGTAATAAGAGTAATAAGTAGAAATAGGTGAATCGTTCAATTCAAATCGTTCATTCAAATAAACAGAAAACCATTAGTACTTGTTCACAAATTACACATTTGCACATGGCATGTGTAGTTTACAATACAATGAAATAAACTGTGCATTATAATTGTGCTTTTACAATTTGAGAGGCCACATAATTCTGAGAACAAAAAAAAAGGAAAAATGAAAGAAAAGCACTGACCCAGTTGATGAGGACGTATTTGGGGAGGCCAGAGTTGGGGTCTTTGACTCTGCAGAAAGCGTACATCACCTTCCCACTGTTCAGCTCCTCCACCAGCTCCTCCAATCCCCCATCTGAATGCATAAATACACTGAGAACACCAGCAAACACCAAAGGCTTCTCCTAACAGCCAGCTGTATTAGATGAGGACAGTTCTGTACAGATTAAACTGTTCTCCAAAAACATGACCAAAAACATGTCCATCTCCAAAGTCTGCCTCTTGTTAAGTTAGCTTCCAAGACTTGGCTCGCACACTCATCATAGAACCGACCCAGAAAACACTTGCAGAAAACAAGAAGAGGAATACAAACCAAAAACACTGAAGACTGGACAGTAAAGTGTGGCAAGAAAAGGAATGTAGATGTACGGGTGGGATATTTTGGACTAAACATTTCAGCGTCTGTTAGCCGTGACTTCAGAAGGATGCTCTGTATACTGTTAGAAATAAAGGTACTGCGCAGGTACATTTTTCATTCATCAAGGTACAAGCAGTGTCAATGTACCCTCAAAGGGACAATATTGGTTTTAAGGTCTGATTGTGAACCTTAAATAAGTTTTTCCTAATGGAAAAGTATAAATTCGTAACCTAATGTTTTAAAACAGAACAGTAAAATAAAAAGCCTGGAGACAGGACAGGGGTGAGTGGAGTCAGTACAACTTAGAAAATATCATTTCAATGGATTATGGTACGGTTATGTTCCCTAACTAAAGGTACTGAGATTGTCACCCCAGTGACAATGACAGTTTAGTACCTTTATTTCTGAGAGTGTTCGACATCTGTTATATGCAGATTTTTATGTGTGTGAACTGAAGAGCTGTGCTTTTTCTCCCATTTCTGTTTTTTTCTCCTGATTTAGAAGCTTGAAAAGCAAGAAAAGCAATAAATATTTGAATTACAAAAATATATATTTGGGCATCTCAGAAACACTTACCTCCTTTGTCAGCCAGGCGGATATCGTTGGTGTTTCCCTCATAGGTGAACAAGGCCCTACAAGAAGAACACAACCCAATTACAACACTGCATCCTGATTACATAACACACTTGTGCTTCACTTATAAAGAAGAAAAATGCATTACAATATAAGAATCTATTCATTATAGATGTAAATTTCTGACCTTATGACAGTTTGCTTTCACAACAATTCCTGAGGCTGGCTTTTCTTTTTATTTATTATTTCAATACTGCACTAAATGTAACTAAACATTGTGCTCTGTCTGTAATGAAACATGCAGTAGTTCAATGTTGTGCAAGTACTGATTATATCAAGGGTCAGAGGTGGGCAGTTCAGGTCCAGAAAGTAAAAATCATCCTCAGGATTTTGTTCCAGCTGCCTGCCTTCTATAATTAAACCAAACCAGCCTCAGGCAGTACAAAATTCTGGGGAGGACTTTTACTTTCTGGACCTGAACTGCCCACCTCTGACCTTAATTTGATGTACTGTGATGTAACATGATGTAATTTATCACAATAATAAAAAGCAATGTCATATTGCCCACCTCTCCTTTCATGCAACTTTAGCTACTTGAAACTAAATTAAATTTCACTTGGGTTGCATCCTGCAACTCATCTGAAACTCAGCTGAACTAGTTGCAGCTGTCAACAGCCAATCAAAATGGCAATAACGCATCACGTCATGTCGAACAACAATTTCAAATGACTGAAAATGAAATGAAACTTGAATTTCATCATGTGAATATGGTATCCTGTCAAGTAAAATTATCTTAAATATAGTCAATAAGTCTAATATTTCTCCTGTTGACATTGTAAGCTTAATTTAAGATTATTTTAACTTAGTTCTAGACATTTTTTACTTGTTTTAAGTGGTTTTATTGAGTAAACTTATCTCACTGTATTGGCAGATAAATTTTAAGAAATGCTTGAAACCAGCAACTTTATCTGCCAGTATAGTGGGATAACTTTACTTTATTAAGTAAAATTATCTTACTATACTGGCCAGAAAGTAAAAGTCCTCCCCAGACGTTTGTACTGCCTGAAGCTGGTTTGGGTTAATTATAGAAGGCAGGCAGCCAGAACAAAATCCTGAGGATGATTTTTACTTTCTGGACCTGAACTACCCACCTCTGACCCTTGATATAATCAGTACTTGCACAACATTGACCTACTGCATGGTTCATTACTGACAAATCAAGTAAATAATGTGTAGAAATAAGTTAGATAATATTATAATAAGCGCAGAACAATTTCAAAAAGGGAAATATTAGATGTATCGACTAAATATAAGATAATTTCATTTGACGAGATCCCATTTTTTGCAGTGTTCAATTAGAATTACTTTTTAAAATGCATTAAATACACAACCGTGAGGCATTATTTACATAGTACTGGAATATAAACAATAAAAACAACAAAGAGTATTTTTGTAGTTTTTACATTTACGAACAGCCCAAGAATGTTATTCTGGTCAACAAAATGTCCACATAGCCTATTTACTGAATATTACTACAATCAATTGTAACTAATTCATTTTTATCCCCTTAATTTTTAATGCCTTATACTCCATTACACTCAGCAGGCTCTCTTAACTGCAGCTCTGCGGTGAAGCAAACCCGATAAAGCATTAGCCATCACCTCCACACTGCACAATGAACGACAGCATGAATGAACAAATCCATGACACCTTCAAGCAGGTTAGTGTTGACACTAGATATTGAGGTCTGAACCACACTGTTTGACCACACTGGGGTCAGCGTTAACGTCAACGCTAAAAGAGCTAATTGGACGGACACTGAGACAATGGATACACAAGATAAGCAACTGCCCTTCATAACACAGCTTCTGATTTGTACCCAGTCCACTGAGGTCCCAGAACGGGTCAACTTGCCATGAATTTGAGCATTTGAGCCCTCAGCTTTGGTTCACTCACACTAAACAAAGCCACTTGTGTACGGAGGAAGCTGTGTCAACTTCCTCTCTGAAACCTGGGGCTGCCGAGCCCATGCTCACTGTCAACTCAAGATAGAGGAAGTGCGGTGGAGAAGAAAGAGAAAAGAACATTACACAATCTTGAAGTGAAAATTCTTTAAGACAACTTTGGTCTCCTTAAAGAGCCAGACATTGCTGTAGCTTGTGTATATAGAAGTGGCATTAAAAGGTGGTGCTATGTTACCAAAAGTCATAAATATCTGAATAAAGCAGGATTTCCTGAGTTAGCCACATAATTTTAGCCCAAGGTCAAACCTGTCAAATAGGAGGAGAGCTAAGGGACATTTCTACTGGACAGTGCTCATTTTGGGCTTCACTTATCCAGCTTTGAGATGTTCTGTAATGTGAAATTACTAGGAATGCACTGATTGGGAAATTAAGGGCTGATGCTGATATCAAATATTTTTCATGTACATACCACACATCATTTACTTACTCCAGCTATTACAAGTTTTTAGTGTCAGGGAATAAAAGCAGAAAACATATTTAACAGAATGTTACACAGAAGCCTCAACCACTAACAATAATACACTTTTTTTAGTATGTAATGTGTCCACTCGTTCATTCTTTCACTGCCTTCTGCTCTTTCAGGAGACTCACTGTCAGTTTCCCAAAAAAATCTATAGGGATATTTTTCCACACCTCCAAAGTTTAGTCTTAGAAGCTGGTTGCATTTTCTGCTTCTCATGACCCAAACACATTCATGTGATGGTCAGTTAAGGTCTGGTCAGTCCGTTGTTCTGAGAACACCAGCAGCTTCTTTGTTTGACTTGAATTTTTTTTCTTTTCAGATCTGAAGCAGCTTGATTTTCTCCTCTCTATCAAAGATGAAGCATTAAGTGCCATTTTTCTGATTCGGTCAGTGTTGGTGGTCTACCAGGTCTTGCATGGCTGTTGAGAGTCCAATACTCCCTGTAGCTTTTAATCGTTTTTTGGAAACACCCATTTTTTCCACTTTTTTTGACTTTCCTCTTCCTCTTGCACATGTATGGCAATATATCACATCTCCTCAGATATACCTCTTTAGAAAGAGTAACATACTTAATGGCTGTTTTGAATAGAAATAAATAAAAAAATCTACCCAGATTAACATCACAAAAAAAATGCAACATTTATTACATGTTAACTTTAAATCATTGAAATCTAAACATCTGCACAATGTCATTTTTTTTCTTAAGCAGTTATCTAGAGATGTCGATATAAATCCAATATCATTGTGCACCCCTAGAAATTCTTCTGTGCTGGTTTGACTGTGGCTGACTTTGGCCATCTAAAATGTCCCATCCTCCTCTGCTCAGTACACTTGGAAGACAGTGAGTGGTAGATTCCTAAAGGACGGGAGTAGCTCAATGAAAACAACTCTAAGCACTAACCGCCCTAAGACTTAAAAACCTCCAGTCAGGACCTGCCAAAGCACAGCCACAGCCGCCCCGGGCCTGGCTCAGTGTTTATAACAAAGAGCACAGTCGAAGCGCACATTGTAGAAGTCCTTCTGGTGAAGCTGTCGCAGAATCACAAAAGCGTCTGCGATCTTCAGTCATTCCTCATTGAGCATTTCAAAAGAAAACAAGTGTAAAAAAAAAAAAAAAAAAACCACAATATCAAGACTGAAACGCAAAACTGGTTGAGCAGAGGTAACACGATACAGCTACTTATAATTAGAGCTAATGGCTGCCACGGAGAGGGTGCTACAGGCCTTTTCACTTCAGGAGAAGTATGTCTTGCATGGCCTTTTTTAAGCTGCATAGCCTGAGGTACCTTCTGTCAAACGCTTTTGCCAAATCACTAAGATAGCACCTCTTCTTTTAACAACACTCTGTAAGTGTTTAGGAAGGAACTGAGGAGACCAATTGCTGTAGTTCTGAAAGTGATATGTTTTTACATTCTTGTTTTATATATGATTTCAGCTCCTTTGTCGTATTTTTCATTTCATAATGCGGCAAATGTTATCAGAGGGTGACAGGTCTGGACTGCAGGCAGGCCAGTTCAGCACCTGGACTCTTTTATTACAAAGCAATGCTGTTGTAATACAAGCAGAATGTGGTTTAACATTGTCTTGCTGAAATAATCGAAGCCTTCCCTGAAAAAGACGTCGTCTGGATGGCAGCATATGTTGCCAAAACATGTATATATCGTTCAGCATTAATGGTGCCTTCACAGATGTGCAAGTCACCCATGCCATGTGCACTAATGCCCCCCTATACCATCATGAATACTGGCTTTTGAACTGTGCACTGATAACAAGCTGAGTGGTCTTTAGCACGGAGGACACAGTGTCCATGATTTCCAAAAAAATGTTAAATTTTCATTTGTCAAACCACAGGACACTTTTCCACAGTCCATCTTAAGTGAGCTCAGGCCCAGAGAAGGCGGCAACATTTCTGAATCCTGTTTATATGTGGTTTCTTCTTTGCATTTTAGAGTTTTAACTTACATTTGTTGATGCAGCGACAAACTGTTTTCACAGTGTTTTTCAGAAATGTTCCTGAGCCCATGCAGTGATTTCCTCTACAGGATCATGTCTGTTTTTAATGCAGTGCTGCCTCAGGGCCCAAAGATCACAGCCAGCAAATACTGGTTTTTGGCCTTGTCCCTTGTATACAGAAATTTCTCCAGATTCTCTGAATCTTTTAATGATATTATGTACTGTAGATGATGAAAAGCAAAAGTTCTTTACTATTTTATGTTGAGAAACGTTATTCTTGAATTTTTGCACTATTTGCCTGCGCAGTATTTCACAGAGTGGTGAACCCCTCCTCATCTTTACTTCTGAAAGACTCAGCCTCTCTGGGATGCTTTTTTATACCCAATCATGTCACTGACCTGTTGTCAATCAACCACCAGGTGTTTTTTTTTACCATTACACAACTTTACCAGCCTTTTGTTGCCCCTGTTCCAACTTTTTTGGAATGTGTTATTGGCATCAAAATGGGCATACATTTTTCAAAAAACAATAAAAGTTCTCAGTTTCAATATTTGATATGTTGTCTTTGTACTATTTTCAATGAACTATAGGGTTTAAATGATTTGCACATCATTGCATTTTGTTTTTATTTACATTTTGCACAACATCCCAACTTTTTTGGAAATGGGGTTGTAATCAACAGTGCTATTGTGTAAGACAGCATTTCAGCAACAGCATGATGAGCTCCCTTATAGCCATGCTGATCTTACTGATATCTACACTACACTGAACTGCACTTCAAATAGGTGTTACATAAAGTCAACAACTAAACCTTTATGAACTACCACCTACATTTCAACAAATAAACAATCAAGACATCAGTTTTTAGTTAAACCAGAACGTGTGCATATATGTATAAATCTTTTTTGTGAATCCCACCGCATAATTCAGTGATTAAGATAGAAACAAAGTCATTCAGAGTGGCATGAAGTGAAATGCAGCCAGTATTGTTTACAGCGGTGGTGATAAGAATCAAACGTCTGAAGCTTATAATACCCCTTAAAGTGCTACCACAAAAGTTATCACATAAAATGCGCGTTACAAATACACTTCCTGATGACTGAGACACTGTTTTACCACAGGTGTGAAAAAAATGATTTGGCCTAAAATGTATTTTTAAAAGCACTTCATGCGAATTTTTCAAGTGGGGTATTCAAAATGTTCATATATTTGTACAGGTACCACTTTGGAGAGCAATGCTATCTCCAGTGTCTTCTTCTTAAGCCAGAAATAAGTGGGAGATGCAACTGACTGCAACTGATTACAGACTAATTAAGAAGCTCTGAGGTTATTAACATGCATGCAGATATAATTGCATGCAGATGTGATTTAGACAGCCAATCAGCAGTCAGTATTTTGAAGCAAGAGTGCTTATTGGCTCACTGATGATAACACTGACTACTTACGTAATGAATGTTGGTATTTTGATACTTGGTAGTTCTGGAGTAATTTGGTCAGTACCATATAGTAGTAAAGAAAATGGTTCTATATAGAACCATTAACACTCAAGGAACCCTTTGCATGAATAAATGGTTCTTTGCATCATTAAGTTGTTCTTCAGACTGATGGAGAATGTGATGTAGATGGTTCTATATAGCACCTAAAAGGGTGCTTGACATCATAACAATAGAAGAACCCATCTACAGCACACTCTCCATCAATCTGAAGAACGCTTTAATGATGCAAAGAACCCTTTAATGGCGCAAAGAACCCTTTAATCACACAAAGAGTTCTTTGAGTGTTCATGGTTCAATATTGAACCATTTTCTTTACTAAAGAACCCTTGAAGAATCCTTTTTAAGTGTGTACAAGCACTGAATTTTAATACTCAACAGTAATCTTAATATATTAATACATCATTATGTTCTGCTTAGACAACAAGACCACGTCTTGAAAGAACCACCAGTGTCATACAAAACTAAGATGGCTATCGCTACAAACCTTGAGTTTCAGCTGTCAGCCATCATGCTGGATGTCAAAGCACCCCAAAAGGAAAGAGAATGTAATTAAATATGGGTTCATTTTAATTACTCTTCATTTCTAGTCCATTCAGGCATCTGGGCTCACAGCCACGTCTCCTGAGCACGAGGCTACATTAACCATCTTCAGCTTCTTCTGTGTGACCCAGTTTCAACGCAAAAGCAACAGCCAGTCACTTCCTGGATGTACAACCTGTGCTGTAGGTCACACCATGAACTAAAGCACCACGCCTCCAGGTCACAACCAGGGCAACTAGGAAGTTTAACTTGGTACACAATATAAATTCAAAAAGACCAACTCCCATATCAGCCCACTGGTTGACTCTAGTTTCTGTGAATAAACATCTACCAAAGAAATCCTGAGCGGTGAAAGTTAATGTACATGTCTTGCATTGTGCAAAGTACAGGGCTTTTTATTGTACATGGTGGCACTTCCACAGCACTGACTAAAGGGTTGAGTCAGTGTTGCTGGAAAATCAAGAGAAGTGCCTTTGTAGTAAATTCTGACTCAGGCTACTGAGACACTGGAGGTTCCCCAGGTATACTGAACTTTATCTCCTTACATAGTTACTTTAAAATAAAGGGTATTAAATAGGACGTCCGTCCACCAACTGTTGGAGATGTGGTACATTGCTGTGAGGATTTGATTGTGTTCAGCCACAAAAGCACCAGGTACTGATGTTGGATGACTAGTTCTGGACCACAAAAACCACCGCAACTTCCAAAGGTATTGGATGGAGCTCCATCCCGCCAAAGAGCGCAGTTCCTCTGATTCACCGCCCAATGCTGGGTGGCTTTATACCCCACAAGCTAACGTTCGGCTTTGTGCCTGGTGACCTTAAGCTCATGTATAGCTGTTCTAATGGCAGTGCTTTTCAAAGCACTTTACAGTAGCAGAATTCACTAATTAGAAGGGGTGTCTGGATACTTCTGGATGACGCTGATGACAAAACAGCACACAAAGCCACCACAGTAGATTAGAGCTGGCTGAAAGCGAGGGAGTGTTCAGCTGCTTGGAAAACAGACACAGATAAATCTCACTGGTTCTTACTGAGCAACAGATTCAATGATTACTTCTCAATCAAGTCTGCCTCAAACGCTAATACAAACAGGATGTAGTGGTAGTATTGAGGTCAGGCATATGCAAAAGCAATCAACTTTCAGCTTAGCTCAAAGAGAAAGCAAGGCCAGTCCATTCATCCAGGGAGGTTTTAATTCAGCTGTAAAACAGGTTTCCTCCAGAGTCTCTGCACAGAGTAAGTTCAGACCGTTGAAGCCTCCTGACATTTACAGGGCGAAACACGACGGAAACACACAGTTCACACAGATAAAACGCGCTAATATACATTTTTAACTTTATAAGACGGGTAAAATTGACACGGTCTCACTAAATAGCCAGGCAAACTGACGACTGTTTACAGTATTTCCAGTAAATGTAGCTAGTGTTGTTTTACATTAGGCAGCCGAAGCCCCATACAGTAGCAGCTAGCAGGCTAGCCTGGCTAAGCTAAGCTGAGGATGTCAGTTAAGCTCTCAGCCTCGCTGATGTTCATTCTGCCTAACTTACCAGTTGGTGTCGGATTTCTCGTCCACCACCTCCTTGTAGGCCGCCGTGAGGGCAGGGCCGTTCTTGCTCAGGTTCACAGACATTTCTGGGTGAAGGACAGGACCGCAAAATACGACCGTCCGGATCCGGGGGGGCGAACTTCAGTTGTGCGGCGGGGAGGAAAGCGCGTCCCCCGCCTGCCACGTTACGTCTAACGGCCACTCCTCCAGAGACGCTGCGTCTCCAATCAGTGAGATCAGTGAAGGTATGAACGATATTACCGATTTTCTGTTCAGAGCGATACCAAATGATACCGGGACTAGAATCCCGATACCAACACCGATAACGATACTTTTAAAAGGTGACGGTAACAAACAATAGTATACTAAATTTGCTAACAGAAAATAAAAAAAAGGAAAAAATAAAATTGGAATTGATAAGTGTACAGAACATTAAAAATAACTCCATTACACACACACACACACACACACACACATGCGTTTGAGCTTTTGGTCACAAACTGATGAGTGGACATTCTCCTTAACTAAGGCACCTCACAAGCCTTTAGATGTTCATCTGGCTTCTTTTATGACCTCTCTGGATGAGTTGTCGCTGCGCTCTTGGTGAAATTTTGGTAGGCCAGACACTCCTGGAAAGGTTCACCACTGTTCCAAGTTTTCTCCATTTATGGCTCTCACTGTGGTTTGCTGGAGTGCTGGAGCTTTAGCAAATGGCCTTGTAACCCTTTCCAGACTGGAAGATTTCAGTGACTTTGTTTGGCATCTGTATTTTAATCTCTTTAGAACGTGGCATCATGTACTGCTTTTTAAGACCTTCTAGCCTGCTACACATTGCCATACAGGTTCTATTTAAATGATGCTTAGATTCAACAGGTCTGGCAGTAATCATGCCTGGGTGTGGCTGATGAAATTGAACCTAGTAGTCAATTGAATTTGGCTGGTTGTTTTAGTAGCTAGGGGGGCAATTACTTTTTTACATAGGGCCAGGTAGGGTTGAACAGCATTTTCCATAATTTAAAACAGCATGTTTTGTTTTATATATATATATATATATATATATATATATATATATATATATATAGTTTTACCTTGTTCTTCAGTGGTCAGGACCCCCATGGACCCTCACAGAGCAGGTACTATTTGGGTGGTGGGTCATTCTCAGCACTGCAGTAACACTGACGTGGTGGTGGTGTGTTAGTGTGTGTTGTGCTGGTACGAGTGGATCAGACACAGCAGTGCTGCTGGAGTTTCAAGAACACCTTGTTTCTCCAATTTTTTCATTTTTCGGTTTTTGACATAATTTGAAAATAGCTGTTGCCCTTTGCATTGTGTGTAGATTTCATGATGAATGGACCAAGAAAGTGGCCCAAAATTACTTGGACAAAAAGTCTGGTTCCATTGACTTACATTAAAAGTAGAATATGTTTTTTCCCTCTCCTGTAAATTTACCACTTTGGAGATATGAGGTTTTGTTCCACAGCGATGTATATAAATATATGTGTGAATATATATATATATATATATATATATATGTGTGTGTGTATATATATATATATATGTGAACTAGAGGAAGCTGCAGAGGGGTGGTCAATCTCCCCTATACATCAATGGAGCCAAAGTGGAGAGAGTTCCTCGGTGGACACCTCACTGGTCCCTCCACACCAACACAATTGTGAGATCTGCCCGTCAGTGGCTCTTCTTCCTGCGCAGGCTCAGGAGATCCTCACCAACTTGTAAACATGCAGCATAGAGAGCAACCTCACTGGCTGCGTCACTGTCTGCGACCAGGATGCCCTAAAGGGAGTGGTGAGGACAGCAGAATCGATCATTGGCAACAAACTACCAGCCCTGCAGGACATCTATCAGTCCTGCTGCCTGAGGAAAATTCAAAACATCCGGTTAGACAGCAGTTACCCAGCACACGGCCTGTTCACCATACTGCCATCAGGCAGGAGATCCTGCAGCATCCAGGCCAGAACTACCCGCCTAATGAACAGTTTCTATCCACAGGCTGTCAGGCTACTGAACAAGCTGTGAAGCTGTGGGTCCTTCCCCAGTTACCATTTCACTAGGCCACTTTGTTAGTATTATTTATTATATCACTGCGGATAATGATACTAAGTTGCTTTAAAATGTATACATATTCTTCTCAGACTATCCTTTGTTTTACATATTTGTACATAGCAGAGAGTTTTTCTTACATAGGTTCCTCCTGTCTCTGTATTTTGTGTGTATTTTGTGTATATTTCATATATTTCAGCTTTAGTATTTTCTTTTTTTGTCTGCACTGTTTTTAATATGTATATAATGCTGCCTTGCTGTAAAGTGATTACCCGCATTGCAAAGGCTCACAGCTTTGAAACTATTTACTATGAAACTATATATATATATGTATATATATAGTTGTTGTCGGAAGAAAGCCTCGTATTTCCAAAATGGTAACTTTACAGGAGAAGGAAAAAAACCTACTATACTTTTAATGTAAGTCAAAGGAAACCAGACTTTTTGGGTCATTTCTTTTAGTCTATTCGTCATGAAATTTACACCCAATGTAAAGGGTAACAGGCATTTTCAGATTATGTAAAAAACTGAAAAACAAGAAAAATGGACATACAAGGTTTTCTTCCGACAACAGCGATATTTATATATAAAGATAAATAGATAGACTGGCTGTGAAGCTGTGAGAGGCTCAGGAGGTGTTGCATTGCAAAGGCTCACTTTAAAAGAGGCATTTAACATTGCTAATGTTGTCCATTAGTTTGTGTATGTGTGATCTTTGTGTTATTCTGTGTCAGGATTGTGGGTGTTTTGTGTTGGTCACCATGGAGCTCATGCATAGCAGCTACTGTTATTGTTATTGGTTGCCACAGCTGGCGGTGATCCCACACACATATATATATATATATATATATATATATATATATATATATATATATATATATATATATATATATATATATATTGATTGCTGTTGTCAGAAGAAAACCTCATATCTCCAAAATCATAACTTTACCGGAAAAGGAAAAAACTTACTTTACTTTTAATGTAAGTCAATGGAACCAGACTTTTTTCCCCAAGTAATTTTCAGTCATTTCTTTTAGTTCATTCATCATGAAATTTACATACAATGTAAAGGGCAATGGGTACTTTCAAATTATGTGAAAAACTCAAAAATGGAGATATAAGGTTTTCTTCTGACAACAGCAATTGATATATATATATATATATATATATATATATATATATATATATATATATATATATATATATATATATATATTTCAAAGCATTTCACCCATTTATAACCAAACAGAATTCCACTGATTTTCCAAACATTCTGTGTAACTAAAACATGGAAATGTACCAGAAGTCATTCAGAGTGGTTTGATGTGAAATCGTTTGTTGTAGTGAAACTTACAGAGACATATTTCTTTTTTCTTTTCTGATGTTTACCACATAAATATAGCCATTTAATTTACTATCCAAAACAATCAGTGAACCTACACATGTCTTTTGAGTTTTATATGTAATGTTGATGGTAAAATAGTGGTCAATCCAAGAAAATGTTTCCTGGGTACTATTTTGCTATTTAACACCCTGCATGTACCATGTATCTCCATTTTTATCTCTTTTTTTTCAGTTTTTGACATAATTCGAAAATGCCTGTTGTCCTTTACGTTGTGTATACATTTCATGGTGAATGGACCAAAAGAAATGACCCAAAATGACTTGGAAAAAAATTCTGGTTCCATTGACCTTCATTAAAAGTAAAGTAGTTTTTTTCCTTCTCCTGTAAAGTTACCATTTTGGAGATTCAAGGTTTTCTTCTGACAACATTAATATATTTAGCCACTGGTGAACCTAACTTTGTAATAAAACACCAGTTGCTTCAAAATGTCTGTATGAACGTTAAAATAAATATTAGTAAATATTTTTTAACATCTGCTGCATTATGGAAATGATGTTGCGCTTGTAGTATGTTAATGTTGTCCTTTCTCGGGTTTATGTTCCAGTATATTCTAGTCCCTTTGACTTAATTAGATCAGTCAGCATTGCTCTGTTTCAGAGTGTCTGCATTACAGAGATGAAGGGCGCCATCTTGTGGATAAATGAAACATGTACATGGATTTGGAGTGGTTCTGCAGCTGCACACATTTAAAAAAGATGGTTCTTCAAAGGTTCTTTAGTAAAGGCAATGGACCTATTTATACCTATGAGTTCTGTGTAGAACCATTTCATGCTTAAATGGTTCTTTGCATGGTGAAATAGTTCTATAGAGGGATGGAGAATGTGTTGTATAGGGTTTTGTAAATGGTGCTGTACAGCACCAAAAATAAAACTTATTGACTTTAGCTGTGGTGACCTGTTTAAGACCACTGAATACGACAGATATGCAAGTTAGATTTCAACACTCCCCCTTGTGGAGAATCTTCAGCTAAAGGTGAGTGAGTGTCCCAAAGCCACTTAGCTGTTAAATGAATCACTGTGCTTAACTGTGCTCCTTCTCTTTGTCATGCTCTTAGGCCCGATTCAGTACTGCCCTCCTGAGTTTCTTGTTAGGGGGAAGTATCACGCTGTCCCTGCAACAGTTTGGTCACTTGGTATCCTGCTGTTCAGGATCGTTTGTAGATACCACAGCCAATCCGAGGGTGAGATGAATGAGAGGGTCCGGGTAAACGAGGTATACCTTTAACCTTGTAACTAAGTACAGAGGAAGGAAAACTGATCACATAATGGCTAGTTAGAAGAAGAATTTGCAGTGAAGGCCAGATGGTCCTGAATGTATACGTTGTTAATAGTGTACTTTTCATGATATAGTTACACCTCGTCCTTTTACGGGTAGCCCTTCTGAAATGTAATGGTTAAGGATCTCTCTCTCTTATCCAACCCTGTCACACTGCACAGAATGCTGTAATCTGATTGGCTGGTGCCTGGAGTGGTACCCATCCCAGCAGCCTAGTTTGCAGCAGATTACACAGCATGAGTGGTTCCAGGGCACCACCCAGGCCTAGGATCAGGTTGGCCAGGGAGGCTAGGAGAAGAAGCAGTAAGCCTAAAATATCTAGTGACAATTGAGGAGAGAGTGTGGTGCACATACATGCCTTAAGGCAACTGGGAATGAAGATTAAGATTAAAAATCTTTCTAAGCTTTAGAGTCTAGTGCATAACTTTCATATCT